AAAAATTGATTATTGTGGCTTTTGCTGTTGAATGAACTATATTTTCTTAAAAAAAAAATAGAAAAATTTGGTATAGAAAATATAAATAAATAAAATCGTCAAAACGTCAGGGTACGCATATTTTTTTTTGCTGACTGTACATACGTATTTTTGTTAGTGTATTTAAAATGAATTAAATTTGGATTCTTGGCAGTCGCAACTTCTAAAGTTATACAAAAGTTTATGCGCTTACCAACATGCATACATACACTATGCGACAAATGAAAGTGTACACCTTGTTCTAATAAAATATTCACAATTATTTTCATGAGAAATGTTTTGCATTAATTATAGTTCATTCTATAATATAAATCAAAGTTACACACTTTGGCTGCGTTTCTTTATACATTCCGGATAATCCCATTTCACAGCCGGAATAAACAGAATGCGTTTGAAATATACGTTGACATATCATCAGGAACGTTCTAAAGAATAAGTAAACAAAAAAGTTTATTCCAAACGTTCAGAATGAATAAAGAAATGCAGCCTTTATATAAAGTTCACAAAAATTCATCAAAATATTCAACTTTTGATTCAGAAGTTATACAAATTTTCGAGTATGCAGTTTTGTAGCCCATTCAATTTTAGTCTAATGAAGTTCAAGTTCCAAAACGTTGATTTTTGAGAATTGTTTTTTTTTTTAGGTGGCGGATTTTTGCACTTTTTACCATATAAGCATGAATTTCCTATGAAATAAAATGCGGAAGACCGTTAGCAACAAAATTTCAAGAAATCAACGCACTTGTTATATAAACAATAAAAACGCAAAAGCAGTCTCCAAAAAAAAAAATCTCAAAAATCAACGCGATTTTGTAGCCGCTTGAAACTTGTACTAAAAATTTAACGGGCTACAAAACTGCACACTCGAAAATTTTCTAGAAATTCTAAATAAAAAATTTTAAATTTTGATTAATTTTGATTAATTTTTTTTTTAATTTTTGTGAATTTTAAATAAAGTGTGAAAATTTGCTTTATATGGTTTATACTAAAGAATGAATAATGCAAAAAAAATTCATTGAAATAATTGTGAATATGAATTATATTAGAACAAGGTGTACACTTTCATTTGTCGCCTACTGTACATATTTGAACATCCACACAAATGTATGTTTGCGTATAACGCACGCACGTGTTTAAAAGTGTTTGAAAATTTTTGCATTTGCGCTCAATACGCTTTTTAAATGCAGCCCAACTTGTGTGCCTATTTTTCGCATTTTCCCTTGATTTAAATTTTTTCTCTTGCGCTGAATAGACTGCATCCTTTTTTATGTTGTTTTAAATGCTGCTGCATTTCTGTTATCCTCAGATATTTGAATCTAATGAAGCAGCGCCGTACACTGCTTGCATTTAATAAATATAGAACTGGAATCTCCACAGCTGATGCGCGAAAAAAAAACTTTAATTGTTTTAATTGTGCTTTTTAAAAGATCGGATCCGATTACCTTTCCTTGCTAAAGATATCTAAATTAGTTGATTAGACATAAAGCCACAACAAAAAAAAACTTTTAATGCACCTTAAAAATAGCACCTAGCTTAGCAGTTCCCGTCGTCTAAGCGAAACCCTCACTGGTGTGAAAGAGTTTTTATTAACATTTGGACTTGCGCTGTACTACGTCAATAATCTGCGCCGATTTGATGTTCAACTTTTGGTTAAAGATTGTCTCCGCACGAAGTTAGATGGTGGATATTTCCACATAGTAGTAGAAGATCACAGGCTGCACATTTGTCCTCGCCAGTGTCCTGCTCACGGCAGAGTGAGACGTATTGTCAAACCTATACTTTTGGAAATTATTCCTAAATATTACCAAAGTATATCCGGCAACTGTCTGGCAGATTTTTTGAATTATTTCGCATCACCTCTACGGCTCCTTCGCTAATGCGGTATATCTTGATAACCATTAGTTACTTTGGAGGTCACCCCCTACGTGCACCTAGTTTAATCCCTGAAACTAAAAGGAGAACGAGTTTTGGAAGGGATGTTCGGAGATGTATATTTTGCTTCGAAGAGGTAATTTACAAAAATAAAAACCCAATAATGTTGGCATAATTGGGGGTTTTGACACACTTTTAAAACTAATTGAATGGACTTAGGAGAGTCTTTATGATAAGCAGTTTTTTTTACAATGTACAGCATTTGTACATATGTATTTTTCATATACGTATATTTTTTCAGTCCAAATACATCGCTCTGTTCTTTTAATGGAATTGAATGTTATGCAACGCAAGAAATCAAATAATTTAATGTAATTTATGCGCTGACAGCTCGAAAGAATGATGTTTAGTGTGCTTGCTGTAAAAGGACATTTGCAATGCAACGAGTTAAGCGTTGCACTTTTACCAATGTTGCCAGATTTTTATTTTCAAGAACTCTAAATTTCCAAGAAAAAACTGCATTTTCTTCAACAAAAAAAAACTGTACCCTTCAAAAAACGAAGGGATTCTTGGAAGAAATGAAGGATTTTAATTGCTTTAACCCTTTCGGTACCAGCGTACATAATATTATACAAGCTATTGTGGTGCTTTAAACGCTTTTAAATGTCAAGAGAACAAATATTTTGGGCAAATTACAGCTATCTATCATTCTTCTTTATCGCGCTGTTTTAATTGACTCTTTTGGATGCTGTTGACCGTTTTTTATTCACAAAATTTGAAAAGTCTCACAAAAATCGATAGTGAGCATGTAACCTATTGAAAAAAATTCACGTTTATTTTTTGTGGAATTGAGATTCGATAAAAGTTTTTAATATTGTTCATGGTTTTGGAATATATTTCGCAAAATAAAAAAATAAAAATAATTGAGATCCCCTGCTTTTTTAAAAACCTAGTCAACTCTCAATCCAATCTAATGTACGCTGAATAATGGTAAAAATAGGAGTTTTATAAAAATATTTATTGTGTTTTTAAAAACCACGACGCAAAGTTAGACGGTATACAAATTTTCATACTTTTAGCTTCAACGGTTGAATTTTTGTACTCACAAGGGTTAAGCATATTATTTATAAGCAAATTTTAAGCAAAAAAACATCACCGACTTCTCAGCTCAAATACAAATTTCGGAGTACCGTTAGTTTATTTATGATACAATGATCGGAACTAAACCAAATTGGTATTGGACCACACTTGAGGTACCACCATCTGCTAAAAAAATAGAATTATCGAAAACGGTTCTTGTGGTCTAAAGTTATCCGGCAACATACATTGTCTGACGAATTGATAACCTCTTCCTTTTTTTGGAAGTCGGTTAAAAAAAAATAATTTAAAATTAAGTAACTGTTAATTTTACATAATAGTTACGTAACTTCACAAAAAAGTCTATGAAATAGAACATTTAAATTTCATTATTTTTCGTAATTTGATTTTTAAATTCTTTGTATACAATTCGACCTGAAATTCAGTACAAACAATACTAAGCGGTTTGTAAGAGCTCTTGTTTAAGTTTTAAATGCATACCACAAAGTGCTGGAATTTCTAATTAATTCTTCATTTTGGTTTTATTCAAATTGATTGGAGGAAAATGTTCTTTCAACATTTGCCAGGAGCAGCTGAAACCATTTTTTTTTTTTTAAATAGGAAATACTGCACCACTTTTTTCTATCTTACAAATTTACTTCCAAAAAAACTGAAAGATATATTTTAATTTATTCCTTCAAATTTGAAATTTTGAAAGAGTAATTTATGCTAACTGTGAATATGGCAACACTGACTTCTATACAAATAAATAAGCAGTCACTTTTTATGGTACGTTTACATGCATTGTATTTACTTACACTCACAGCAAAAAGTTTTGGTACGGAGAATTTTTCACAGTATATGGAACAATTTTTATTTTAATTTTTTCCGCTAATTGTCTATGAAAACATGATTCATACTACAGCAATAAACATAAAAATATAATTTCTAAACATTGTGCGAAACTAAAAATAAAAACTCAAAACATTTTCATGCAAATTTTCAACTTTTCAATAAGATTTTTTAGAATTTCTAATTAAAATGCAGTATAATAAAAAGCAAGTTTGAAGTTGATAAATTTGGTTGGTTTTTGAGATTTTTTAAGCCGTTTTGCATTTCGAATTTTATTTTGTATGGATGAAAACGCGTGAAAAAAATTGCCAACAATCAATGGTAAGTCCTAGCTTATTCAAACATGGCCTTTATTATAATAAAATTTAATGGCCTACAAAACTGTAATTTTGCATGCAAATTTTTTGAATTTTCCTGAATTTTGCTGAAATTTTGGAAATTATATTTTTATATTTTTGTTGTATTATCAACCATATTTTTATAAAAAATTAGCGAAAAAATAATTTATAAAAATTGAATATACATATGTTCGTATTGTGAAAAATTCTCTGTGCCAATACTTTTTGCCGTGAGTGTATGTATGAAGTATGTAGTATAATATCCATAAACTACAGCAACAGCGTTTATTTATTAATTTTTTGGTTTTGTATAAATTCATTTTCCTCGGTACAACCTTTGCAATATTCACTAAAAGTAATTTTCGTGCTCGTAAAACTGCGCTGAACCATGAAGGTAATCAATTTCCCACCGATCGGCCAACCGGCCGGCCACAAGAAACACCCAATTTCGTTATACAGCCAAATTGAGTAGGAAATACGACGTTGATTCGTGCCAAGATAGCAGCACCACACTACAATCCACAACGTTCATCAGCCGCAGCAGCAGCACGGCAAGACAAACTTGTATGCTTCAATGAGTTTTAAGTCTCTATTTTGGATTGTTTCTGCATTTCATTTGCCCGATTGGGTTTCTTATTGAAACTTATGTACTCTGCCTCAACGATTCGTTCGACCGAAATTCAACTAGTAAACAAAAAAATGCTAGTACATTTTCAACGTTTTTCCATATACAATTTTCAATGTAGTATTTCAATTGATTTTTGATTTTCCATTTTGCACTTTTTCATAGATACTAATTCGCTGCTCTCATTCGTATTTCAGACGTTGCAACTGAAGCAACCAACAGCAACATCGCAAGTGAAGCAAGTGACATCACAAACACAGAAAAAGCAAGAAACAAGAAAGCATTAGGAAAAGATTTATTTAACTCTTCTACAACAAAACAACAAAAAAAAAATACTGTCAAACATTGCACATCAACATTATCACCACCACCAACCGCATCTCCAGCTTTCAACATTCATCTCATTTAATTTTTGGCAAATCGATAAAATCCTTTAATTGCCAACATCATGACTGAGGATACAGAATACAAGAAATTACCGGTAGACGAGCGTTGCGTGCACAAATTGTGGAAGGCACGTGTCGATGGCTATGAGGAAGCAGCCAAAATTTTTCGTGAAATTGACGATGAAAAATCACCAGAATGGATGAAATTCTTAGGCCTCATAAAAAAGATGGTCGTCGACTCGAATGTTGTTGCACAGGAAAAGGGTCTTGAGGCGGCATTGATATTTGTTGAGAATTGCGGTCAAGCCGGCAAGACAGTGGGCGATGTTATGGCTGGCATTGTGCAGAAATGCATTGCTGCGCCCAAAGCAAAAACTAAAGATTTGGCAGTGCAGATAACGCTCATGTATATTGAAATAGAGAAGCAAGAGGCAGTCATAGAGGAGCTTGTGAAGGGTATGGAGCATAAGAATCCAAAAATTGTTGCTGCTTGCGTGTCTGCCACAACATTGGCACTACGTGATTTTGGCAATAAAGTTGTGAGCGTTAAACCGATGATTAAGAAATTGGCACCGTTGATGAGCGATCGTGATAAGACAGTGCGCGATGAAGGCAAACAGTTGGCAATTGAGATTTATCGGTGAGTGTGAGCGGCGACAAGCTGGTGTGGAAATTAATGTAAAAATTAATTATTCCGCTTCTCTTCTTGCAGCTGGATTGGCGCCGCCATGAAACCACAAATCACCTCATTGCCGCAGGTCACACTCAAAGAGCTAGAGGATGAATTTGACAAACTCAAAGGAGAGAAGGCTGAACCAGTAAGGTGAATTTGAAGAATAACTAGCTAGCTTTTGTGGTGTTTAAATTAATAAATTGTTTGTTTTTGTTTTACTTCTTAAGATATTTAAAATCGCAGCAGGAAAAACAACAACAGATTTCTGCCGCTGCTGCCGAGCACGATGAAGCAGGCGACGGTAACTATTAGTTATTTTTACTCAATTTAATATTTTTTTTAAATTTTGTACCCCGGACTTGGCTCTTTGACTTTGCAATTCGATTAAAGTTATTGCTCCAACAAAGTAAACTACCTACTATATAAATGTCGGTTATGTGTCTTTATCTGTTATCAACCAGCGTTGATCCATCATCGTAAACCCGGTGGGCTCTACGACGATTCCTACAAATTCAAAATCGACTACGTGATTTTAAGTCCTCTATCTAAGTTATTTATATATTTGATATATAAGTTTATGAAATCATCGGTTGGTTTAGCTTTGAGGTATTCTCTGTGCATTTAGTTATTGTCCCTTAATTGATATCATAGGCTTCTTCAGTTCAATTTTAAATTAAAAATTCGTCTACCTAGTAAAGAACGCAGTCTTGGTAAAAATAATTTTATTTCTGAAATTCGAGTATGATGAATTTGAAATATATTAGAGGCCAGACCCTCAAACAGAATATTCTCCTTTGCCTCAACTTAGGATCATTCGAAATTTGTTAAAACGTGGTATGACAGTTTTTGCAGTGTATTTGGCCACCAAACTACGAAGGCATAAGCCACGAGCATAATTTTTAATGACTTCAGATCCCTCATCCGACGATTCTTCTACAGGCCATCATTGATCCGTCAAGCTTTACTAAAAGTCTTATCAAGGTAGAAGTTCTAATCCAATTATCAAGAGTGATACACACCAGTTAAGTCTGTATATACGGCAAGCAATCTTCTGTAGTATGATTAAAAGTTCATCTACCACAGTCAAGACATTTATTGCACCAATGGTTGAGTGATCTATGATACGTTGGATCATTGCCCCTAAGATTGATGCGTAGACTGCAAAAACTAGTAAACTTTTAGAGGCATAAACATAAATGAGTCATTGGGTCTTATCAATAAAAACTTACCAATTGCTTTTTCCTAAAATTTCAGTCCTTCTACTTAAATTTATTTGAAGAAATCGAGTAAAGGGTATTAAATTTTAAGAAAAGCAGTTGTTTTAGGCTCCTAATTCGGAATGTTAGATTTCAAAAAAGATATGGTCGTATTTGCCTCAGGAATTTGCTGAAAAATTGGCTGTAATGGAAATTTGGAGAAATGGAGGAAACTACCAAACTTATCAAAAATTGTTCCCATTAAACAGATGTTAAAAGTATCAAAAAAAAGTTCATTTGTCTTTTTAAGTGGGACGGCTCTTACTAAATGAAATGTATTTCATTGAAGTGATCTTGATTTGTAGTGCAATAACTACACTTACGCTAAAGGTTAATTTCCGCCAGTAATATTTTCGAAATTGGCCAGCACGTTTCTCTTTAAATGTCTCTTAACACTGATATCATTCATTGCATTAGTTGTTATTAAAAAATCTATATTACAATATATCAGTGTATAAACCGCTTTAGGTTGTCGAGATATGTGTTGTTATCGATCTATTAATTGATTACGGATGTTGATATTAATCTCTTAAATATGTTGTCGGTACATTATTCGACGTTGTTATCGATATTTATTGATATTGTGACTGACTATTCACATCGTTTATCGTTTGCTTGCATACATATTTCTATAATATTGAAAGCTTACAGCTATAGCGTCAAAATTCAGATACTCAAACCAAAGAGATTTCCTCTAAGTCACTTCTTATGTAGCCTGCGCAATACCGGCAAATATTTGATCATCTTTTTGATCATTTTTTTTGTACTAATAAAAGATTTTTAGTGTTTATTTTTCAAAATAAAACAATTAATCAGAAATCTTTTATTTTCTGGTTCATTAGCCGTTACTTTTGCAGCATTTGCAACCCTAAAAAATTTCCATTTACTATTTCTTGAAAGAATTGCGCTTCCGCAATATGCGCGCACCCACCTAAATGAGCTCAACATTTAAAAAAAAAAAAAAAAAAAAAATAGCTAAAGTGATTTAGGAAATTTGATATTCGTCATTATCGCAGCTATGCACATCTTTCTACTAATGCACATATACAAACATACATACATATATCAATTATTTTCCTGATATTAGCAATACGATAAATATGCGCGGAAATGCCTTCTTCGCTCAGCTTAATTGCCACTTTGTCACGCAACATTGGGCGCATTGGCAATTCGTCTATGCTACAGTGAAATTAATTTTCCTCATACGTAGCCACACCCCAAAAATCACAAGTTTTAGCACCTTTTATTATATTGTTTTTTTTTTTTGCTTTGCTTTTGCTTTGTAGATGAAGACGGCGAGGGTGAAGAGGCCATTGATCCTATGGATCTCATTGATCCAGTTGATATACTCTCAAAGATGCCTAAAGATTTCTATGATAAATTGGAGGAGAAGAAGTGGACGTTGCGCAAGGAATCCTTGGAAGCACTCGAGAAGCTTTTGACAGAGAATCCAAAATTGGAGAATGGCGAATATGGCGTGTTGGTCAGTACACTAAAGAAAGTCATCACAAAAGACACCAATGTGGTGTTGGTTGCAATGGCCGGAAAGTGTCTGGCGATGTTGGCCAATGGATTGGGCAAGCGTTTTGGCACCTATGCAATGGTATGTGTGATATAGTTACAATGTTTTCCAATGAAACCTCTTGCACAAAAATATGAAATCCTTCAGCAAATTTCTATTAACTTCCCTTTACTTTTGCAAATCTCCAATTAACCAATTTCTCCCATCAGGCCTGCGTTCCCTCTCTACTGGAGAAATTCAAAGAGAAGAAGGCAAATGTTGTCGCTGCGCTGCGCGAGTCCATGGACGCTATCTATCCATCCACGAATTTGGAAGCCATGCAGGAGTGCATCGTCGAGTCGTTGGGCAACAAAAATCCTAACGTCAAATCTGAGACAGCTTTCTTCCTTGCGCGTGCATTTGCGCGCACTCAGCCTACTGCGCTAAATAAGAAACTGCTCAAACTCTATGTGACCACACTAATAAAGACGTTAAATGAACCCGATCCTACTGTACGTGACGCCTCAGCAGAAGCTTTGGGCACTCTACTCAAACTAATGGGAGAAAAATCTGTTGGACCTTTCCTAATTGAAGTTGATGCACTTAAAATGGCAAAAATTAAGGAATGCCAGGAGAAGGCTGAGATTAAGGTAAAAGTGGTAGGGGTCAAGAAGGAACGTCCTGCTACTGCGCCGGCGTCAAAAACATCAGTGGCAGCCGCCTCATCAGCTGGTAATGTTGGTTCAGGTGCATCGTCTCGCAGCGGCTCCACTGAACCGAAATCCGTGTCGCGTCCTGCTACGGCTGGCGGCAAAAAGTCGGGTGTTAAACGCGTAGCAGGCGGTGGCAGTGCAGCACCACTTTCCAAATCCGCTAGCAGCGCCAAAGTGTTGGCCACTGAGCGCGAGCTGCCTTTGGAAGAGGTGCAGGCCAAGGCTGAGGAATTGCTGCCGCCAGATGTGCTCTCCGGTTTGATAGATACGAATTGGAAGAATCGTTTAGCAGCTTGTGAGAATCTCTTGCAAACTATAGGTGACTTTGACGCCAAGCAAACTGGATTGTCGCAGACCCTTGTCCGTACGGTTAGCGCACGCAAGCCGGGCTTAAAGGTATGTTTTGATTCGACTTTTTCGAAATGTTTTTGCTTATTTACTATTCTCTGCTACGCACTTGGCAGGAGATGAATTTCCAAGTGCTGAAGCATAAACTTGACATAATTCGCATTGTTGCTGAAACTTACCCGCTTACAACAACCACAACTGATCTTGTTGTCAATGAAGTGACCGAAAAGTTGGCCGACATTAAAAATGGCGCCACAGCCGCTGATGTACTCACCGCCTTTGCTGAAGCCACCAAGTTGGAGCACATTGTAGGACGCGTACTTACCTTCGCCTTTGATCAGAAGTCGCCGAAAGTGCAGTCCGAAGCTTTGAATTGGGTGAGCAAGGCTATACTGGAATTCGGTTTTCAGTTACAACCCAAGCTGCTGCTCGAAGACGTGCGCAAAGCAGTGCAAAGCACAAATCCTACTGTGCGTGGTGCTGCTATTTGCCTGCTCGGCACCATGTCCTTGTATATGGGCAGCACAATAATGATGTTCTTTGAAAATGAGAAGCCCGCGTTAAAGTCACAAATTCAAACTGAGTTGGATAAGAGTGCTGGCGAAAAGCCACCAAAACCAGTGCGTGGCGTTAAGAAGTCAGCTGGCAACGCAGGCGGTGCCGCAGTTGATGCCGATGACGACGCCTGTGATGATGATGAGGCGCAGGAGCAAATGAATTTGGCTGATATGTTGCCGCGCATTGACATTGCACCGCAAATTACCGAGACGCTCTTGAAGGAGATGTCCGACAAAGACTGGAAGACACGCAATGAAGGCCTAAATAAACTGCAAACCATTATTCTCGAAGCTAAATTGATTAAGCCCACAATTGGCGATTTAGCGCCGGCACTTGCGCATCGCCTGCTCGATTCGAATGCAAAAATCGCGCAAACCGCCATGTCTATTTGCGAGCAGCTAGCCAATGCCATGGGCTCGAGCTGTAAGAATCACGTTCGAACTTTATTTCCCGGTTTCCTGCATGCGCTGGGCGACAACAAGCCTGCTGTGCGCGCCGCTGCCCTGAGTTGCATCAACAGTTTCGGCGAGAAGGGTGGCTACAAAGAGTTCTTTGAGAGCGAAATGATTGCTGATGCACTGAAGACTGGTTCGCCCGCGCTCAAATCGGAGCTATGGGGTTGGCTGGCCGAGCGTATGCCTCAACTGCCACCAAAATCGATATCCAAAGAGGAGTTAACCTCGATGGTACCACACTTGTATGCGCACATCTGTGATCGCAATGTAGATGTGCGCAAAAATGCAAACGAAGCCGTTTTAGGCATAATGATACACCTCGGTTTCGAGAGTATGGTCAAAGCGCTCGATAAACAGAAACCCGCCTCAAAGAAGGATATACAGGCAGCATTGGATAAGGCACGTCCGAATCTTCCAATGAAACCGTTGCCTAAAGGCAAGCAGCAAGCGCCAATTGAAGAGCCGACAAAGAAAGTAGTGCGTGGCGGCGGCGGTGGCGCGCAAAAGAATGCTGCAGCCAAGGGCGGCGCTGCTGGTGCTGGTGATAAAACCGGCGCCGCTTCGTCACGCAAAAAGGAGGAAGATGTTGACACATCGCCATTGCTGGCAGTCAATAATTCTAAAAATCAACGGTTGATTGATGAACAGAAAATGCGCGTACTCAAGTGGACATTCACAACGCCACGCGAGGAGTTCATCGAGCTTTTACGCGAGCAAATGACCACGGCCAATGTAAACAAAGGACTAATGGCCAACATGTTTCACGATGACTTTAGGTGAGTGATCCGGAAAATTCTGAATATTAGCAACCTAACTATAAAGTACCTTTAATTTCCTTTCAAACCAAGAAGGGTAATAAAAAACTGTATTCCTTTGTTTAAAGCCTGTTCCGATCTAATGAACAAATTTTCATTCTTCTTTGTTTCGTTACAAACATTTCTACTATTCGGCTATTTCTTATACAGATACCATTTGAAAGTTATCGAGGCTTTGAACGAAGATTTACCCAACAACAACAAGGCATTGGTCTGCAATCTGGATTTAATATTAAAATGGCTCTCGCTGCGTTTTTACGATACGAATCCTTCAGTTTTGCTAAAGGGTCTCGAGTATCTCAATCTGGTTTTCCAGACATTGGTCGAAACGGAGTACATACTCGCTGAAAACGAAGGTAGCGCATTCATACCACACCTGCTACTGAAGGTCAGAATACGCCAAAACTACTTCTCTATTAGCAAATTTATTTAACTTATACATATTCGCATTTCTGCAGCTCGGTGATCCCAAAGATGCTGTGCGCGTTGGTGTGCGGTCGCTTCTACGTCAAATACTACTCGTCTACCCCTATACCAAAGTATTTGTGTACGTTATGGATGGACTTAAATCAAAGAACGCCCGTCAACGTACCGAATGCTTAGATGAGCTTGGCTATTTGATTGAAAACTATGGCTTAACGGTATGTCAGCCGTCACAACAGGTAGCATTGAAGGAGATTGCGCGTCACATTTCCGATCGTGACAACTCTGTGCGCAATGCGGCATTGAATTGTGTAGTGCAGGCATATTTCTTGGCTGGCGAAAAGGTCTATAAGCTAATTGGTCAATTGAATGAGAAAGATCTGTCCATGTTGGATGAGCGTATAAAGCGCGCTAAGAAAACGCGTAAACCAGCACCAGCTGCGGCAGACACTACAACAGCGATTGTTGGTGTTGGTGGCGGCGCTAAAACAAGTGCGCAGGTGGTGCAACAGGATAGCATAGAAATCGATGAGCCGGCAACGAATGGCGCATGCGATGAGCTGCCACCGCCAGACGAGCAGCCAACGCCGGCAGCAAGGTGAGTGCTGTGGCAGTGAAAGTACAATTAATGGCCAAATACATGTGCGTGTTTAAAAAAATTTCAGGTTGAAGAGAGTGAGATGAATACAAGTGCCTAAAAAAAATGGCAATTGACGAGTGCGCTGCTAAGGCGTTGTGAAGGCTGTGTGTTTTTTTGTACATATGTACATATATAAAATCTTCTTAATTAGTTATATGACTTGCATATGACATAATAAAAAACCAGAATGCAGAGCCCCTTCACAACGTCTCAGCATTGAGCTGACAGCTGCCAGCTGCCAGCTGCCAGCGCCATCGCCATCGCTATATTGATTGTTGTTTTTATTCGCTCACTTTTCCAACTACAATTTCCTTAACCTTTCGACAGTCCCTAATAATCGTTTACATTTTTATTGTATTTGGCATAATAAATGCTTATAAGTATGTATAATAACTAAACCAAAGCAAAAAAAAAACTAAAGAAAATTTATTACTAAATTTTTAACAATTCTTTTCTTAATAATTGTAGTGCTGCTCTTCTTCCTCGTTTTGCTAAACTCCATTATTATAATTTTTTAAAATTCACATTATATTGCTCTGCTGATCTCTAACGTAACTGATGAGAATATAATAACTAAAAAAAACATCCAAAACAATTAATGTTTTAATTTTCACCTCCATAGTGTGCAATTGCAATCGAATGCGAATGAAGCAAATGCCAGTACGGAAGCAAAAGACAAGCG